CGGTCCCAGCTACTCGGGAGGCTGAGGCAGGAGAATGGCGTAAACCCGGGAGGCGGAGCTTGCAGTGAGCTGAGATCCGGCTACTGCACTCCAGCCTAGGCGACAGAACGAGACTCTGTCTAAAAAAAAAAAAAAAGAAAAAAAAAACAGAGACGAAGTCTCACTCTGTTGCCAAGTCTGGTCTTGAACTCCTGAGCTCAAATGATCCTAATGCCTCAGCCTCCCAAAGTACTAGGATTATAGACATAAGCCACTGTGCCCGGCCACATTTGTCTCTTGAGTCACACTTGATGAGGCATGGCTGTCATCTTGGTATCTCTTTTTACTAGCATCCTAGAAATTCCTTTCGGTTCCCTGCTGTATTAATGCTTTTATCCTCTGTAGTTCACATCTTTCTCTTTTTTGGTTTATGCCCTTGTTTTGGTAGACTACTTCCCCTAATAGTTTACTGAGAAATGGTACATTTGAAAAAGATCCCTAGGCAGGCATGGTGGCATGTGCCTGTAATCCCAGCTACTCGAGAGGCAGAGGCACAAGAATTGCTTGAACCCAGGAGGCAGAGGTTGTTGCAATGAGCTGAGCTGAGATCACGCCACTGTACTCCAACCTGGGTGACAGAGTGAGACTTGGTCTAAACAAAACAAAACAAAAAAACCAAGAAACAAACAAAAAAACAAAAACAAAACAAGATCTCGCATGCCTGAGAATATCTTCATTTTATCCTCACATTTGATTAAGGCTGGATATAGAATTCTAGGTTAGAAACAGTATTTTTTTTTCCAGAATTTTGAAGGCATTGGTTTATTGTCATCTAGTTTTTGCTACTGTGGTAGAGAAGTCTGAAGCTGTTCTGGTTTTTGATCCTTTGTGTGTGATCGATTCTTTCTTTTCAGAACCGTATAGAATCTTCTCTTCATTCTCAGTGTTCTGAAATTTTATTACCTTGCACGGATCTATTTTCGGTATTGTGCCAGGTACTCAATGACTCCTGTCAATTTGGAAACTCAGTTTCTTTAGTTCTGGGAAATTTTCCATTTTGTGTTCTCTGGCACTCGTATTATTAGACTGTTGGACCCCCTAGACTGCTCTGCTGATTTTCTTATCTTCTCTCTCTTGTTTCCCATTTATGTATCTTTTTATTTATTTATTAAGACAGAGTCTCGTTTTGCCGCCCAGGCTAGAGCACAGTGGTGCGATGTTGGCTCACTGTAGCCTCCACCTTCTGGGTTCACGTGGTTCTCCTGTCTCAGCCTCCAGAGCGGCCAGGACTACAGGCATGTGCTACCACACCTGGGTAATTTTTGTATTTTTATTAGAGATGGGGTTTCCCCATATTGGCCAGGCTGTGGGGTTTCCCCATATTGGCCAGGCTGGTCTGGAATTTCTGACCTCAAGTGATCTGCCTGTATCCGCCTCCCAAAGTGCTGAGATTACAGGTGTGAGCCACTGTGCCTGGCCACAAATGCTATTTAGAGTAATTAAATAAAATTCCAAATCCTGAGATAGTAAAATAAGAAATGTTTTATACCATTATTCTTTTTGTTAACAATAATTTAACCCTTGCAAAATGAAACAATACAAATTGAACACATCACACTTTTCTTCCTGTGACTTTGGCCCTACCCATCTACCCATTCACTTGAAAGAGGCAAAACAATGATAACCAACAATGAAACACCATGAACAATTCTACGTGATCCCATCACAGAAAATGAACCCAGAATATTCTACAACACAAACAGAGGTGCCATCTCTACTGCTTCTAAAGATTTCCTCTTTCATTTCTTGGTCTAGAATGGGGGTTTCTCAGCCTCAGCACTAGTGACATTATGGGCCAGATAATTCTTCATTGTCGTGTCCTGTCCTGTACACTGTAGGATGTTTAGCAGCATCCCTGGCCTCTACACACTAGATACCAGCAGCATCCCATAGCCAGATGTAAGAACCAAAAATGTCTGTAGATGTTGCCAAATTCCCCCCACAGGGAAAAACTGTCTCCAGTTGAGAACTAGTGACTTAGGTGAGTAATGATCACTGACACATGCTGCGAGTCAAATTAACATAGAACTTCTGGCCGGGCACAGTGGCTCACACCTGTAATCCCAACACTTTGAGAGGCCGAGGCGGGTGGATTACGAGGTCAAGAGATCGAGACCATCCTGGCCAACATGGTGAAACCCCGTTTCTACTAAAAATACAAAAATGAGCTGGGCGTGGTGGTGTGCACCCGTAGTACCAGCTACTTGGGAGGCTGAGGCAGGAGAATCACTTGAACCCAGGAGGTGGAGGTTGCAGCGAGCCGAGATCACGCCATTGCATTCCAGGTGGGCAACAAGAGCAAAACTCCATCCCCCCAAAAACAAAACAAAACAAAAAAAAGAACTTTGATGCATGCCCCATCTTGCTAGAGATGATAGATTTAGTACAAACGGGAAACTGTCCACCAGTATTTTTCTTTGTAAGCATTGTCAGTGCAGTGACTTTCCTTTTCATTTAACTCGTGAGGATATATATATATATTTTTTGAGATGGAGTCTCGCTCTGTCGCCCAGGCTGGAGTGCAGTGGCGCAATCTCCGCTCACTGCAAGCTCTGCCGCCTCCCGGGTTCACGCCATTCTCCTGCC